CGCACTGCGGTGCGCCGAAGCGGTGGAAATTATTGCCTAAGAGCGCTTTGAGCTTAGTTTGTAGGGCAGGGCTCGGGGGGGTATAGGAGTTCGAGGGGGATGGGGGTTGGAGGACAAGGGAATAGGTGAGAGGGAGCCCCGAGACGGGAGAGAGAGAGGAGAAGGACGGGGAATGGAGGCGATCACGTCGTGCAGGGAAGAACTCTTTTTCCTCCCTAGTGCCGCTCCGAGGTTGTAGGGTGCTGGAGAGCCGGGGGGAGGTGGGGTCGCTCGGACAGGGGAGGGGGGAGATGGCGGTGAGAGCGCCAAAAGGACGTAGGTTTTCTGGTGTTTGGGAGGTTGAGGTCTGGTGGTGGTAGCGGGGCTCGGATGAGAGGGAGATGTGGCCCGAGGAGGGCCATTCTATTTAGACACGTCTTCTCTGTGGGACTGGGTTGCTTGGTGAGGGACGAAGGTGAGAGCGGTGCAGTACGAGACAGGGTGAATAGGTTTCTGGAGGACCAACCGTTCAGGTTAGTGGCGGTAAGGGGGAGGCGCCGCGCGGGCTACAATCCTCCCCCTGCGGTTTTCTGGAGGGTCTAGGAGCTGTGTGTCGTGGCAACGCTAACGCTTTGGTGGTTTCGCCGGACTATCCCGGGCCCCTGCAGTGGTGATCAGGCTTGTGCGTGGTCCCTTTTCTTTATAAGGCTACTTCTCCCCTGGACCAGCCCAGGAAGGGACAGGTGGCGGAGGTCAGTTGTTTTAAGGTGGTTGCAAGACGTCTTGTGGTGTCGAGCTCTCTTAGCCTTTCTCTCTTGGAGGTTTTTTGTTGGCCTGTTAGGTATATCAGGAGCCCTCCCCTGCCGGGACTGCCCTAACCGAATTTTTGTTTGTTTGTGTTTTTGTTTTTTTTTGTTTTTTTCCCTTCGAATCCCGTTTTCGTTGGTGGTGTTTTGGGGGGTTGTTTCAGAGAGCCTTTGACTTTGCCCTAGCTGAGACTTGTGGACTCGCTCTAGCGGGACCTGAGAGCCCTTCGTGGTGTATTCAATACAGCGCTATCCCCGGATGGAGGGGCTGCGGAATGGCTGCGTAGAGAGTTGGCAGTCTGAGTCGGGGTCGGGAGCACACAAGACTAACCGACTTGTGCTGTGTGCTCCCGACCCTTGCGCTGTGTTTCGGCTTCGGCCCCCGGCTCTCGCGGCCCACAGTGTAATCTGTAAGTCATACATACGCACCTGCATCTGTCGGGTCGCACTCAGAGCGGATCCAACCGCATGGCACGTCACGCCGGCCGCCCGCAACGCCCGACCCTCAGCACTCTCAGCGCCAGCAACTCCATCCGCCTCGTCGCCGCTCCGGTCCCCTCCGCCATCGCCACTGCCGCCGCCGCCGCCGCCACCACCTCCACACTCCATCTCCTCCTCCCCTTCCCCCGCCTCCCCGCCGCCATCCTCGTCATCCAGCAGCAGCAGCGACTGTGCTGAGACGGAGGGATAGGGACCCAAGGAGCCTTCCGGATAGTCAGCTGTCGCCGCCGCCGCCGTCACGGCGACGGCTTCGCCGCCGCCGCTGCCGTACAGGACCTCCGTCAGCGCCTCCGCGCTGCGTGCCAACCCTCGCAGACCGCAACGCGGAGAGCGCAGCAGGGCTCGACTCACCTGCGGCGGACAATATTTTGATATCTTGTTTTCGTAACTACACTGTGGTCGAGTATGATATTGGCGTTGCCGGCATTGCTGGCATACACATGATGATGGCCCCCGGCCCCCGCCTGGGACGTGGCATTCGCTTGTCTATACCTTTGCAAACTCCCCCCTCCCCCTCCCCCTTCCTTTCCAGCCAGAAAAAAAGGGGATATCGGGTATCAGGACCCCTTCCCAAAATTTTCCATCCGGAGGAAGTATTCCTTGATCTCCGCCGTACGACGCGCCCTGTGCCGTACGACTTCCCCCTGCCTTACCCCCCACCCACCTGACGGCTCACAAACTGCATCAGGATGGCCCTTGAGAGAGCAGGGGTTGGTGTTGGTGTTGGTGTTGGATGGGTGTGAGAAACGCAGGGGAACATACAGAAATAATGTGTGTGCGTGAGGGGGGAGGGAAGAGGTGTGAGCAAAACACATGTCTTTTCTGTAGTAAAGGGAGAATGGTCAAGAAACATTACCATTCCCGTGTGGTAACGTGAAAAGGCCTCGCATCATCGGTGGATTAAGACACGGGCCCGGCAGCGCCCAAGCGAAGTGCGGTGTGTGTCTGTTTATGTGTCTATACGTGTGTGTGTGTGTGTGAGTGTACAATGCGGAACGCGGAAAAAAAATGGAAAATGCAAAAAAAACCTGGAATGGAAAAAACGGAAGCGAGGATGCGGAAAAAAGGAGAGGGAACATCTCGTAACTGAGCATAACCCTCCGGGATTAGCTGATGCGGCATTGCCAGGGGGCATGTAAATGCATACATGCAAACATACACAAAAGAAGGGGAATTAGCCTTGTTTGTGCAAGAGTATGTTAGTGGAAGAGTATGTTCGTGACCCAAGGTACATGTGTGTATGTGTGAGTCTGGCCGAAGAGGAGGGATTGGAGAGGCCAGGGGGGCTGCCATGCAAGTGTCGTCGTACAGACCTGCCGTACGTGTTGCCGGGATATTCCTCCGCAAAGGCTACTGCCGCTGCCAAACATTCGGGATCCAGAGACAGGTGGTACGGCAGACGTGTACGACCCGAGGGCGTGGTGCTGCCCGCGGCGAACTCTGCAATGAGGGGAGTCAGGTGTGTGTTTTTGGATGTGTTATAATGATCTGAGCCGCGAGAAGCGAGAAGGAAATGGCGAGGAAAGGTGGTACGAGAGAATAAGTATAAGAGTAACTTTAGTGAAGCAAGCTCCAGAGAGTGAGTGTGAATGTGAGTACTGCATTGCACTCACATATTAAAAATATCTAATATTTCATTATATTTATTATAACCATTATTAAATAATATTTATAGTATAATCGGTAATGATCTTATAGCGTATTACGCCACCCTTAAATTGCCAGTTGAGAGCTTTCTTAAGGTATTTGCCAAGCGGCTTGATGCACGGTGGGAGTGCCCGAATATCTTGGGTGACCCCCGCGTCTTCCCCATAGGAATTACCGGAGCCAAGGCGTGTCGCTATATGAACTGGATGGGAGCTGCCCCGTCAAGGGGTGAGCGTCTCGATTGGTTGGAGCACACTAATGGGACCATGCCCCAGCGACTTCATCATGTGCTCATGCGTTTTCGATTAGGCTGCTGGGAGTTAGAGGTTAATAGGCCTAATGGGCGTGAGCGCACCGCGCGTACCTGCAGGCTTTGTGACTGTGGAGCGGTTGAAGATGAGTTGCATGTTTTCGAAGAATGTCCCGCTTATATGAGCATACGGGCTAAGTATGATGGTGACCTAGTCCTTACGGGGCGCAGCATGCGCACCATTATGACTGAGGCGCCACCCCTGGCATTGGCCAGGTACCTCTCGGAAATTTGGGAGGCCAGGCACGTCGCGCTGAGGCGCTTCGCCCTGAAGCGGACGAGGGAGAATGAAGATGACCTCCCGCGTACCCGCATCAATACCAATACAACGTCCATGGCCCCCCCCGGCTTTTACGGAGACACCCGCACTTGTGTGCGGAACTTGTAACTTGTAACTTGTATAGTATAATAATGTATAAATTGTTATTTAATATCTATAATACATAAAGATGTTGTGTATTATACATTGTAGATATTATATTTATACATCATATCAAACAATCACATCTCATGCGCGAAACGTCTACCAAAGGTGGTCTTACCCTGGTATGCCCGGGAGGCCGCCTGGTACAAATACGACCCGCCGTACGGCACGATTAGGTGGCTAAGCGGCAGCAGTAGCACCGTCTGGCGGAGCCAATCCGGGCAGTAGCGGCGGCGACCACCACCACCCATGGGGTGGTCCCGCCGCCGCCCGCCGCCCGAGCGCGCGTCGCCGCCACCGCTGCCCGCACCGGCCCCGTCGAGAACGGGACCCAGTACGGCACCTGCGACGGCAGCGCGCAGCGCCGTCAGCCAGGTCGGTCCGGGGGCCCGGGTGGTGCTGTCCGCCACCACCAAGAGCCGCTGGTGCACACACCTGCACAAAAGGAATATAATGAAAATGAGCCCAGATAAATGAGCGGCGAAATGAAAAAACAAAAAAAGGTTCCCCGTAATCGGTTGGGGTCGATCGGGGTACATTGCCATGGGGATCCTACGGGTAGTAGACAGAACAACTGCCCATCCGGGTGGACGGCAAGCGCCTATTCCAAAGACCTTCTGCAGTTCAAAGCTCCCCCCCCCCGCCCAGCAAATCTCCGTTCATCGCGTAAAAGGCAGTGGGTTGAACAATTCGATTATTAATTTATCGCGATCGATTTAATTTGCCCAAGATTAATCCGATTCACGACAAAAAACAATCATACGTATTCTCTCACCCCGATGACGTCACCAGCGCAGTCCGCAGCTCCCCTGCCCAGCTGTACAGCGCCTCGGGGCCACAAGGTCCATTCGACAACGCCTGGCGCCAAGCGAAGCAGTTAAGGCAAGGCCAAACTAGGATGAAAACCAACTGAAAAGGGACTTGCTTTCCTTTCCCAGGTACGAAATGTTGCTGCCAACGCTGCCAAGCAAGCGACTGGGGTTTCAAGGCTTGAGGATGTAAAGAGGTGGGAAAAGAGGGAAGGACGGGGAGGGGAAGGGGGAGATCCAAACCCAGCCAAACCAATCGATTCGCACACCCAGCCAAACTAAATACTCTCGTTGTATATCCTCATTCGATCCTCACCCCGACACAAGTAAATCAAGCCCAATCTGCCAACCAGCCAACCAGCTCCCAAAGCCCCCCAGCAGGCAGGAGCTAACCAGTGCACATAAAGCTATACCCAAGTACCCACCCTTTCATGCACGAACTACCTGGCCCCACTCAACCAAGCAAACCCCACCAACCCCACCACCAACCCCCACCCCCCACCCGCATCACTGCATCCGGCGGCGGCACCCCCGCGCACTCCCCAGCAGCGGCACCACCGCCACCACTCAGCCGGAGCACGTAGCAGCAGCTAGATGGCATGCTGCCGCCGGCAGCAGCAGCAGCAGTGGCAGCGGCGGCCGTTCCGTCCCCAAACCAAGTACATGCCCCCGACCGCGGCCTCTTGACACCGCCGCCGCCACTGGCGGCCCCAATCGGGTCTGAGCCCCTGTTTGGTATTGCGCCAGCTGGCCTAGGGAGTACGTTAGCAGAGGTGGCCAGGTTGGAGAGGAGCGCCGCCAGCGTCTTATCAGCGGCGGCGGCGGCGGTGTGTGCAGATAGAGAAACGGGCCCCGTAGCCGGCGCCGGCGCCGCCACCTCCGGAGGCGGTTGCGCCGATGCCACAGGGCAATGCTGCTGCTGCTGCGGCGGCGGCGGCGGCGGCGGATCGAGAGGTACGGATGAGCGCGTCGGCGACGGACGGAGGGAAGATGAGGGGGGGAGAAGGTGGGGCGAGGTCGGGGGGGGCCGGAGAGCTGGGGAGGGGGACCCAGGGCGCCCGCTGACCTGGCGGCGGCCGCTCATATCCGGGGAGCCATCTTCGTCGTCGCCGTCAACGCCGTTATGGTCGGCGCCGACACCCTCGGTGACGGAGCCGTAGCCCCTGCTGTCACCGTCACTACCATCCTCTTTCTCCTCCGCCAGTACGGCTACTGCTGGGGCGGCGGTGGCGGTGGCGGCGGTGGCGGCGGCGGCGGTGAATGGTGCCGCAAGGCATAACCTGGAGATTGAGATCTCCTCCGAAGCCGCCACCGCGTCGATGGCGCCGTCGGCTGCGGCAGCGCACCGCCGCCGCCCCGCCGCCGCTACCAGAGATTCTGGCCGCGTCGCCACAGCATTACCCCCAACGGGAGTCGGTCTGCTGGTAACGGAGCTGTCGGAAGAGGTCGCACTTGCGCTCCGACAGCGGCACTTATCATTACCTCTGAATTCAGAATTCGATCCGGACTGTAACGGCAGCGACGGCGGTGCCGGCTGCGGCACCGTCGAGGACCGCGTCGCAGTGGTGCGCCTGCCTTCGGTACTGCCGCCCGGCTCCGTTTCAGATCCAGAACCCGACCCAAAGTCTTCGGAGCTGCCGTGCTCTGGCCGCCTGCCGGAGAAGCCGACGCTGCCAGGCGCATCAGAGTCATTTTCGGAGCTGCCGTACAAACCGCGACGGTGCCGTGGCGGTGTCCGCATCCATGCCCCCTCATCCACGTCTCTAATAGCCGTCACGGCGCACCTGGCGTCTGTAGCAATCGGCGCGACGGCTGTAGCAATCGGCGCGACGGCTGTAGCAGTACTAACGTCAGGGAAGGACCCCGCAGCGAGGGTTATGCTCTTGGCGATGGCAGGCGGCCGCCGGGGCGGCCATTCTTGAGTCGACGTACTACTCGCGTCGTCTGAAGCGTCTACATCCTCACCGGCACCGCCGCCACCGCTGCTACTGGCGGCAGGCCGCCGCTGGCGGCCGACCCACGGCGACGGCAACGGCGGCGGCTGCCGCTGACACCGACGCCGCCTCGCGCTGGCACCGTCCCCACCCTCGCAACCTCGGCTACAGCAACTCCCCCCGAACGCAACGCGGGCGGTCGTACGGCTTCCGTCCTCGCTTCCGCTTCCATGACGATTTTCATCTCCGACGTCGTCGCCGCCGCGGCCGCTGCCGCCGAGCCGCGCACCTCGGTTTCTTAGGGTTTCATCCCTCCCTGGACAATACGCGACGCTGCTGCTGCTGCTGTTGCTGCTGCCACTGTGACCGTCGCCGTCAGCGCTACCTCCAGCGTCGCCGGCACCCTCCTGGGAAATACGAGCCACGTTGTGGCCTCGCTGGCTTGTTGGCCGGCGCCGCACCGGCGCGACGGTGGCGACGACGGAGCCGTCAGAGCCGTACGACACTTTGCTGGTGCTGCGCCGCCGCCTCCCACCGCTGTCACTGCTCTCCGTCTCGTTCCCCGCACTTGCATCGCTGCAGGAGCGCAGACCAAAGCTTTGTGGCAGCAGCAGCGCCGGCAGCGGCGGCGGTGATGAAGCTGCTTGCTGGCGAAGCGGCGACGCAGCCTCCGCCACCACCAGTGGAGTTTGCTTGGCACGTGTACGACGCACCACCGCACGCCGCCGCCCTCCTGCAGTTTCCGCCCTTGCAGTAGCGCCGATGGCGGCGGCGGCGGCGCCGCCGCCGCCGCTACGGACATCCCCGCGTCTACCAAGGCCGACACCGCTGTCGTCAAGGTCGCCATACGCGGGTGCGTTGGCGTCGTACCGTTGACGGCCGTTCACCGCGGAATCCTCCTTTGCCGCTGCAGAAGATCCCGTCGGCTTCATGATACATACGCCTTCCGCAGCATACTCGTTGCTGGCGTCATATGTATGCACGTATTCATCGCCGCTGCTGTCGCCGCCGCCGCCGCCCTCGGGAGGGCGGCTGTAGGTATGGATGGATGCCGTATGCCGCTCCGATGGCGGCTGCAGCACAGCTGCTGCTGCCGCCGCCGCCGCCGCCACCGCTGCCGGCGGCTCTAGGGCCCGGATCTGTACATGGGGCTTCGTCGGGACACGTGACCAGCGGCGGGCCTCAGTGGCGCCGGCAGTGGCGACGAAAGGCTTGTGTACGATACAGGCACGCGTGGAATCAAGGGAAGAGCAACAAGAGGCGCCGGACGGCGACGACGATGAGGCGGCAGAAGCGGAAGGACAGGAAGTAGAAGAAGAGACGTGGCAGGCGAGAGGACGTTCCGCCATCAACACCATGGCATTCACGCCGGCAGTGGATGGGGTGCCGCTGCCGTCAGGCACAGAGGTCCGGAGGCCACGGAGGTCGCCGCTCTGTTCCATGCTGGTAACGCTGTCACATCCGTTAGCCCTTTCGTAATACGACACCGCAACCGTCGGTCCGGCCGCATAGGCGGCGCGGCAGCTAAGGCTGCGCATGGCGGCGTGCTTGGACTGTTGACCGCTGCCGTTGCGATGCCGTCGTTGCTGGGTAATGTTGCCGCCACCCTGCGGCGCCGGCAGCGGAGCCGGGCCACTGCCACCGGTGGCCGAGGCCATCGCCAACGCAGCGGCTGCGGCAATGGTATGCATGTCACGGCGGCTGGCGCCGCCGCCGCCGCCGCCGCTGTTGCTGCTACCGCCGCAGGTCGGGCGGTTTGCCACGCCGGAATCGAGCGCACCCATGTCGCCGCCGACACTTTCAAGTCCGTATTCAGGACCGTAACCATGCACAGATCCGTACCCGCCCTGCGCGCTGCCGTACGACAGCTCCGAGCTCTGGTCAGAGCTGTGGCTGAGCCGTCGGGGCGCGGCGGCGGCCGCGACAACGGCGTCGGCGGCGCCGCCACCGCTCCAGCCACGAGCTTGCGCTTCCAGCAGCGACGCCGCGTCGCCGCCGCTGCCCTCCGACGGTGTGTCGTATGCGCTGCTCGCTGCACTACCATTGCATCTGACGCCCACGCCGACGCCGAAACCGGCATTCGCGTCACTGCTGCCGCCGCTGCCGCTGTCCTCGTAGTCTTGGAACATAACGGCAGCGCCAAGGTACTCGTACGGCGCCAGCTCCCTGCCAGAGCTGTCGGACGAGCTGCCGCTGCCACCGCAGCCACCGCTGCCGTGCCGTATATTCGGCGGCAGGGACATTACATTTAGCCCTCCCAGGAGCAAATCCGGGTCTCGCCAGCCATCCACAGTTGGCGTGGAGAATCCCTCCGGTCGCTCGGCGCCGCTCTCGCTGCCGTACAAGCGACGGCCGCGGCGGCGTCGCCCGGTGGCTGCGCCACCGTCAACGACTCCGACGAGCTTAAGACGTCGCCGCCGCTGCTGCACCTGCCGCATCTGCTGCGCCTGCTGCTGCTGCTGTGGCGGCGGCGGCGGCGGCTTCGCCAAATTCGGCGACAGTTGACTGCACTGCCGGCCTGGGCCAGCTCCAAGGGTATCGCTACCGTTCTCCAAGGCGCACCGCCGAGTGCTGCAGCTACCTTTCCCCTTTACTCCACTGCCACCTCGCCCTGCAAAAATGCTCCTGCTGCAGCCAGCGTTACTGCCCTGGCTTGCGCCTGAATCCGCGACAGCGTCGCCGACGCCGCGAGCGCTGACGGCAACATCCTTGGCCTGCCGCCGCCAGGACTCCGCACTGCTGCTACTGCCGCCGCGGCCGCCGCCCACCCCGATGTCGTCATCATCATCATCATCATCACCACCGTCGCTTCCGTCCTCATCATCGCTTGTCCATTCCCCCATCGACTCACCAGGAAGCATTGCCCTGTGCATCGCCGCACGGGCTTGCGGCGTCAGGAAGGCCTGACGCATCGCCGCCATGGCGGCTGCAGTCGCTGCCGTGGAATCGGCCACCACGGGCAAGGTTGTCGCAGCGGCTGCAGCTTCAGGCCCCCCGATGTTCCCCACACTGCCGCTGACGCCGCTGCTGCTACTGCTGTCACAGCGACAGCTGCTACTGCTCGGGTGTCTAGAGGAGCAGGCCGAAAGCTGCTGACCGGCGCTGCCGCCGCAGCCGTCGCTACCACCATCACCGCCTTCCACCCCAGCCCGTGGAACAAGGGCAACATCAATATTTTGCCCCTCCGTTTCCTGTTGCGCTTCTTCCTGCTCACATCTCCCCACTACCTCATGCATCTGCTGCTGCCGCTGCGGCGGCGGCGGTGACAGCGGTTTCGTCATGCCTCGCAGCAAAGCTTCCGACGGATTGGCATCATACGGGATCTCAGCCATCGACCCGTATTCGGTGGCCCTTGGCGGCTGCAAGGCATGGCTGGCCTCTGTATTCGTCTCCATCGCCGCCGTCGTCACGGCAGCCGCAGCGGCGGCGGCGGCGGCGGCGGCAACCTCCTCCGCCACCTGCGCCTCCTCCAGATCGCGTTCCCGCTCCGCCGCCTCAAGCGCCGAAACCAGGTCCTCAAGCAGCCGCCGCTCCGAAACCGACGTGTCGGCCAGCAGCTCCTCAAAATACAGCCGTAGAACTTCCATCTGTGCCTCCACGCCCTGCACGCCGCCGTCAGCGCCTCTGTCGGCGGCGCCGCCGCTGCCGGCCGCGGCTTGCAGCGATCGCAGAGCCCGCCGCATCTGGCACAGCCCCAGCTGTAGCAGCAACCCTCGAGAAAAGCCCCACTCCGGCTGACCCACGATTCGCGCCGCGACCACATCCACGAACGCTACCCCAGTAGACAGCTCGCAGCGAAATCTCGCCGAGGCGTCGCCGTCGCCCCCGGCGGCGGCGGTGGCGGCGCGCTGCAGGCAGCGCTGCACAGCTGCCAGCGCTTCAACTGCCGCCTCCGCGCGCCAGACCTCCGGGTCGTTGGCCAGCTCGGCATCGCTGCGCTCGCTATCGTACAGCTCGTCCAGGCATGCATGTGCACGCTCCAGGCGCTCCGATACAACAGACAGCTGCGCGGCGAGGTTGGCTGCCGCGCCTTTTCCGTCGCTACGACCGCCACCGCATGCTGCGCTCCGGCTGCCGTCGCCGCCACCGCGATCACCAATACCGCCGTCACTCAATGTAACGCCACTGCCGCCAGCGGCGCCTTGATCATCGTCTAGATCCGCCGCCGCCGCGGCCGATGGCGACAGGCTTGCCAGCTGCGGCAACAGCTCCGCCAGCGTCACCTCAACTAGATCCAGATTTCGGTTGTCCACGTAATCCAAGACGTTGCTGTCCAGCAAATCCAGCAACCGCTCCCTGGAGCAGTCCAGTGGCGTGGCCTCAATCACCGACGACCCAGGGGTGGTTACAGCGGTGGTGGCAGCGGTAACCGCTGCAGTGGCAACGGCGCCACCGCCGCCACCTCCGGCGGCAGCTTTGGCCGCGTTGACGGCGGCGGCAGCGGCGGCACGCGCCGCGCTGTCCAACGGCCCCTTCCATCCAGGCAGTCTAAGACAGAGCGAATGGGCAGCGGCTCGCATCCCAATAGCTGCTTCCTGCGTAGCGAGGGCTGGCTGCGTCTCCATGTAGCGCTGCCACAGCAGCTCCACTGCGTCGGCGAGCGGAGGACGTGGGAGGAGGGCGTGGGAGGAAAGAGTGAAAAAGTGAAAAAGTGGGCAACGTGGGACCATGCGCCACCCGTGACTGGGCGGAGGATAAGCAGCACTACACAGGCACAGGTAATAAACAATAAACCTTCCGTACAATACAATACAATACATTACGGACCGTATGCCAGCCCGGATGGCTACCCGACACACGCAAACAACACATCGCCCGCGTTGTCGGGTGCAGAGCGCGTGTCTCGCAGATATCCGCAACGGGTCGCGGCATGTGTATAACAGGAGCCGAAAACCACGGCGCCCCTTTCCGCCCTGGCCCCCGGGCCCACGTACCTAGGGCATGGTTGCGGTGGTACGGCATGAATGCCGCCTGTGGACGGGCAGGAATTGAGACAACGGGCATGGCATTGCGCGGCAGGGAGACATGGGAGCCGTCAGTTAAGCAGTAAATCAGCAAGAACATAACATAATATAGAGGGCGTTGTAGTAGCTGGTACACAGTAAGGCTATACAAATATATGCGCTAAGCGCGACCGCCCGCCAGCATCTCGAAGAGAGGCCTTTTCAGCGGCGGCCAGCTACTACAGAGGACGTCGAGGAAGGTATAGGCAAAGTAGGTAGCTGGGAGGGTGGATGGAAGGGTAGCTGCCTCCCCCGCGCCACTACCGAAGATCGACACAAAGCGAGCGCGGCCAAACCCCCACGGCCCACGGTTTCCACGTTTCCCATCACGCCCAGGTAGTAGTTTTCCGTCGTACGCCGTACACATCGTACCATGAGTGGCGTGATTTCGTCGTCTCCATCTCCCCCCAGCACTTCCTTGCGCAGAAGGCAGGGCAGGTCTACTCTCGCGCCGCGGCTGAGCAACATCTCCACACCTACAACCAAGCGCCGAAGTGAGCTGTGAGCCAACATAAACAGAACAGGACAGGTTTAAAGCCCAGTGTTGGAAAGTGACCGACACATATACCATTTGAAATGGTGAAAACAGTAATAGGACCCGAGAGGGATCCGACGCTTTGCTGAGTTTAACACCCAGGACAAGTTAGGCGGGGAGAGGCTAGGCGCAGGCCAAGTCCGACTCGAAACAGCCCGAGCCAGTTCGAGACGGGATGGGCCAGGCCAAGCTGGGCGAGGACATACATACCCACAGGTAAGGAAAACGTAGAAACGTGAAGCACATCAAGACCCAGAACATGTCGAAATGGTAACAAGTTACAAGTTCCGCACAAGTTTGCGGGGGTGTCCGTAAAACCTGGGGGGGGGGCCATGGATTGTGGACATGGTAACTTCGTCAGCGGCGGCAGCTGTGGCAGCTGTGGCTGCGGCATTACCTACCCTGCCTCGCCAGCTGCTCATCCGGATCTACCACATACGCCAACATAAGGCTCATGCCGGGTGCCAGCGGCACATCTCCCTGCGCCGCCTCCGGCCCACTCAGCAGCCCCACGGGGAGCACCAGGTCTCGATCATCCGGGTGGAAGTGAAGCGGCACTGCCGCCGCTGTCGCTGCTGCTGACCGAGGCGAAACCGGGGAGCCAGGTCCGCTAGCAGCACGGGAAGATGTTGACTGTGCAGGGCAGACCCTGCATCGGTCCAGCAGTAAAGCAACGAGCTCCGGGCGGTACAGCAGTACAGCCATGTTCGTACGGAGCCAGTAGGCTGAGGAAAGGGCAGAAAACCAAGGGGGGGGAGGAGAGGGGTTTGCGGTAAAGAAGGGGGGAAGAAAATCAGGGAACATCTAAGGGGCAAAGCGGAGAGTGACCGAGTGCTTGGATAAAGGGACTTAGGAGGCGGCGGTCCGGGAAAAGATACACACTGTATAATAATACTAAAGTATACAGTATTTTACCTGTATAGTCTAGTATACAGGTAATACAGAGATTGTCTAATGTGTTTGAATGGGGAGTTCTTAGAAGCCACTCCAACACGAGCCAGGTGCTGCAGGCTGAGCCAGAAAGTAGGGAGAACTGCGGAAGGGAGCTCGCCCCGCTATCACCCACCGACGGCCTCTCGCTGCGGCGGCTGCATGGCCGGATGCTCCAGCAGCGCCCTCAGCACCAGCCCCATACTGACGGTGTGTTGTCTCTCCGCGCTGCGGCGCCAGAAGGGCTCAAGCCACGAGTCAGCCAGGGCGCGGAGCAGCAGGCAGTCGGAGGCTGGTAGGGAAGGAAGCAGCTGCTGGGGGAAGTGGCTGCGAGGAGGAGGGGGACGACGACGACGAGTGGCGGGGTGGGAGGTGGGGGATGTGTGAGAGTAGGGGGGTAAGATGAACCGCTGGCAAATGGAGCAGCGAATGTGAGTAAGGGGGGGGGATGTGAGTGAGGCGGGCGAGGGAGGACGGGGAGGAGGAGAAAGGATGGGGAACGAGCTGTGGGGTTGGGCAGTTGGTATGTTCCACGTACTTTCCGCGTCGGCATTTGGTTTTTTTTTCCCGCATCTTGCAGATGAGGAGATGCGATTTCTTTTCCACCCACACAGGAATAGCACTACGAGCTGTTCTTCTGACCGAACACGCGGGTGCTTAGTTTTCTCCAACTTCACATTCAGCATGAACCAATTAACATTTGCGCAGACAGATATATATTGCATACGCAACAACAACAAAACCCACATGGAGAAACCCACATGCACACGCGCACAAACGAGCGAACGAGAGAGAGAGAGAGCTCACCGCCATAGGCAGTCCAGCAGTTTATGGCCACACGAGTGCCGTACAGCTGTCGCCACGAAGTCGTACATCGCACGCTCGTCCAGCCCGCCGTCCGAAAGCTGGAAAGTCCCAAACTTGATAAGCAGCTCTGAACCGGTTGCGGTCGAGATGGTGAGGAGGGGCAAGAGGGAAGGCAATAAAAACACGCATGTCGGGCGTGCGAGTTAGGAAGAATACTCAAGCTATCAAAAGGACAATTAAACGTGACCTGAGGGACCCAACGAGCCAAGCAGGCACAAAAAAATAAAAAGTAAAAGTAACAATAAAAAAGCTAAAAAAGTAAAATTCAAAGTAAAAGTCAAAACACTAAGTAAAGTAAAAGGCTTTAAGACTGGAGGTATTGTATGGTGTTCTTCCTCTATTTTTCCCTCCTTATGGGGCCTCCAGCATGGAATGGGACCTCCAGCATGGAATCAGAGGAGATGGGAGGTGGGAGGAGGGATCGGCACGGGCAGGACACCTAGTCTACGAGGCCTAGCCGCCAACAGGCTTAACGTAAAAGCGAGCCAACAAACCCCTCAATTTCCTTTTCCCTTCCCTCCCGTAGCTCTCTCCTCCGGCCGCCCGGGCCCGAAACTCGGACGAAAGAACTTCGAAACACGGCTGGCGTTGCGTTGTTGACATCGCTACTACTGCTTCTGCTTGGCTGCCATGACAGGTCTTTGCCGTCCACGACGCCCACAACCCACAAGTTCCAGGTTCAATCCTTGTCCAGGACGCCAATAGTTTGCTCCGGAGGACCCTCATCCTATCCTTTTTAAACCAATCCATGAAAAGGAGGAGGCGGGCTCACCAATGCCCTCCACCTTCCGCGGTGATGTCCAATCCGACAGGTCCAGGACCTTGCAGGTGATGTGGATGGGGTGGTCATTGCGCGCGGAGCAGACACTGGAGTTGAAGGTAGAGCAGCGGTGCTGACGCAACACCTACATGCATGCAGACATACATACATGCAAACCGCCACACGGACAGGCCCAGGCAGGTAGGTAGATAGGTAATAGATGGACAGGCAGGTAGATGAACATATACATACATACATACATGCATACATACATAGATGGATAGATAGAGATAAATGGATAGGTAGGTAAATAAATGGAGAGCGAGGCATATGAGCAGACGGACAGTGATAAACAGATTATGCAAAGGTTGGCAGGGAGGCGGACGACAGGCGGGGACTGGCCTGGGGTATCAGCGGCATTGTGTATTTTGGGTCAAATGCCTCATGTGGCCAGTACCACCCAACCGGCGGGGTGTCGTTCTTCGCTTGCCAACGTTGCCTCCCCTCAACGAGCAACACGAAGCAGCTGTAAGGGGCTGTAGGAAGAGTATTCAAATCTGTGCATGACCCAAATGCGCGCGGGCGAGTTGGTGCGCGGCGAAAGGGAGAGGGCAGGGTGACGTGATGCAGCGAGATATTTTGGCCACTTGCGGCGATTAAGAGAGGAAATGTGGCGCGGAGTCTGGCTGCTGGTATCCCCCCGATTCCTAACCCGTCCCGTTGCCCCTCAGCGGCCCCGTTGCTGCAGCATCCCTTGCCCCTGCCCATGTCCATACCCGCATGGACACACGCCCGTCTCCCTTCAAACACCGACTTTCCCCCGGCCTCCCTGGGCCGCTGGGGTCTCCATGGGGTCTCCATTCAGGATCCGCCAAAGCTCAGCAGCAGAAGGAACAGCGCCGACATTTATTAGTAACTCTCCCCTAGGTGTACCCGCCCACATGGCGTTACGCGGACCTGAAAAAGGGCACGGTGCTCCTCTGCCGTGATTTTCGCACACAGCACCGCCAAGGGCGCCGGCAGGCCACAATCAGTGACGGCATTTGGTAAAGCGCCCAGCCGGATGAGGAGGTCAAGTACCGCGGCGGGGACGCCGTTAAAGCAGGAGAAGACCAGCAACGGAACTAGCGGCTTCCGGTCCTTAAGCACCCAGGTGGTATTATCGAAGCAGCTGGTATTGCTCACGAGACCATTGGGATCTAGGCCAGACTTCACCAACGTCCGAATTTTGCCAAGGTTCTGAGAGTGCAGCAGGCGCAGGAGATCATCGGCGGGAAGCTGCTTTCCGCCCGCCGGTGTCACCTTCTTCCGCCCCATCGACAACGGTGATTCCCTTGATAGGCGGAAATTTTACTTCACATGTCCATGGACATGAGGAACCTTTACAGTCGCAAGGTTTCGGTAGAGCGGCCCGACCGAGATGATGTTCCGGCGACTGCTCAAACAAAGACAACGTAAAAATTAAGTATCTTTAAAACATGCACGTCTTAGGGTGAAAACCGGATGTTCTCTGTACACTTGCTCCTCCAGCTGAGGCTTGCATTTTCAATATCAGTTCCGACGGATCACAACTAACCTGGACTTACGTTTTAGAAGGCAAGGGTCGTAACTTTACATGCTTACGACAACAACTAACAACTTCGGCAGCAGGAAGACGTCAAACATGGATGGCCCGTACGGTCCAACCGCCATGGCACAAGTCTCGAGTCAAGTCAGCCATGCTCCGTCGACAATCATGAAGTTCTTCGTATTATGACTTTGGCAAGATCTTACATTCAGACAGCAATGCGGAGCAACTATGTTACCCTGCCTTGCGCCGCTGGCGTACTACCGCGTTACGCACGGTTACAAATCTGCCCAGTTGCAAACCATTCTATGACTTTACCCGGCTGCAAAAACCCTGCTATATTATAACGTCAAGTAGCCTTGTGCCTTGAAACTGGAGGTCGCCCGTTTGGCGATACATCCTTGCCATCGGGCCATCGGTGCCTTGCGTCGGCAATGCAGCGGCTTGGCAATGCCATATAGCCACAACACCTCCTTGACATGATATTTACGCGGCCCAAACCTCATTAACATGAACTCCTAATTATCCTGTAGCCGTAGCAAGACGCCCCGAAACTCTCCAACGGATCCTTTCCAATATAGTTTTGAGTTCTATCCAAGCCACAGCTCCAGCTTTCGCCATTTCGGTCACAGATTACTGGTGTAAATCTCTCCATCTGCTTTTGCCCATTTAATTTCCAAGGGCCTTCGAGGCCGAACCGCGAACTCTATCCGCAGTTCGACACACAGCAGGGCACACACGCACACACCCACACATACCCACACGCACACCCACACATACCCACACTCAACCCCCTCCACACACACACGGGCACACACGCACGCACACGTGTGACTACATGATGAGCAGGTGACCCTCAGATTGGCCCACCTCCTCTCTAACCTCCCAACGTAAGGCCCCCCTAAATGCGTGTAACCCGACATAAATTGAGTCACAAGAGTAGTAATAATAGTCTTGAAGTAGCAGCACCAGCACCAGCACCAGCACCAGTGATAGCAGCACTAGCAGTGACAGCAATAGTACTGGCAGCAGTAGTGATGGCACTACTGCTAAAGGCAGCAGCAGCTGCTCCCTTTCCCTGCATACTGCACACACAGCATTACCCATACATTTCCCGCCCCTTCAGCATTATGGTCACGCGGCCATAAGGCGCGCGAAGATATATTGTTATAGACCACAACCGTAGGCCGGAGTCTAAGACTACAATGTTGTTATCATTACCCGAATATATCTAGTCCATTATCCTTGACCGCTGACCACCGCACGCATCCGCCGCTCCAGCTCGTATAACAACAGCGCAAACTCCGTGCGCCCACCACCCGCCGGGCCGCGCCGAAATCAAATCCGAGCCCCTTAAGAGCCTTCAGGTCACACAAGGTCCCTAGCCAGTACGGATCGTACGACTAAGTCCTGTAGTGCCCCGTACCCGACACCCCCCCGGTACACCGCCTCTATGTCGCCCTGAAGATAGGAGGTGGGGGGAAGGCACAGCGGGGGAGGTGGGGGCGAGGGACAAAAGGTGTGTGTATGTGTGTATGTGCGTATGTGTGTGTTGGGCTGGGGTGGGGTGGGGTGGGGTTTACGAGCGTTATGGAAAGAGCAAGGGACGTGCTTGTGGGGCCTTACCCGTGGCGCCATCTCTCTGGGGCCATCCGCGCAAATAGCTCCCACCATAACTACAACTCAACCCCAACCAGAATCAAAACCACCACAACTACCATAACAATTTAATCGTAGACCGCAGCACCCTTAGGAATCCGCTCCATTTGACGCCATTTCCGGTTTTGACGTCTTCGACGCCGCCGGAAACGCCTCGGCGGCCGCAACGGCGGCGGTGGCTGTCGGGCCATATGGCCACCGCTGAAATGGTTGACGGAGGGCCCCCTCCCTTCCCTCCCTCGGCAAGGTTGGCCCTTTGCTTCTATTGCCTCAACATCATGTTTTAGGTACACCCTAGATTGGGGTTTTCATACAAATTCTTCATGGGCGCCGTTGAGGTACGGCAGTGGCAATCCATCCGTACGCTGCGCTTTCGGCTCGTCAGGGCTCTGCACGTTCCAGGGCATTTTCTGTTCTCCTTTGCGGCGAGGAGCTCTGTGGCGGTGTGGGGCAGCGGAGTGTGTGTGCTGGTGTTTGATCTTTGCCTGTGCGTCCCTTTTTCCTCCCCCCTGGGAGGGGGAGGCGGAGGGGGGGGGGAGGCAACGAGCGTGGACTTCCTGTCGGTATGGTGCCAGACGGCGCGTAATTGCGTTGTGTGCGGCTTGTATATCAAAATACACTCTGTTTGTCTGTATGTTTGTCTGTATGTCTGTCTGTTTGAAGCGATAGTCGTCCCCCCCTTTCTTCGTTTGCCAACTTGTGTACGACGTGCGACAATTTTATTGTTCGTACGCAAAGCCGCACAGCCACTGATGCCACTGCTGTTTAATTCCCCCCTCCCTGCCTCCCTCCTCTCCTCTCCTCTCCCCCGCAGCCCTGTCACTTTCTCACTTTGTACCCGGACGCCTCCATGACGTCCAGCTCCCCCGCCCAGCCCGGCTCCATGTCCCCCAACCGTTCCCTGAGACCCCGGACCATAACCCTGTCCCGTTCAGACAGCGGCTGCAGGTGGTGGTGCTCCACATCTGCCAGCTGACGGCTCCGGAGACCCAGCCAACGAAGCCCCGGCAGCAAATGACTGACTCCAGGGAGGTTGAGGGGGTGGGTGCCGTGGTGGCGAGTTTGGGAGGCGTGGAGGCGGGGGGGGGGGGGGAAGACGAACCACGAACGAGTGAAGTGGGGGCAAGG